TGGAGACCGTTCAATCCCTTGTCGACAATCTGGCAATGTTTACCAGATGTTTCACGGATACCCTTGATAGGCTCCAGCTGTGAGCCATTTCTAAGGTACACCGTGTTTGACCGCCAATCCACCAGTGGGTTCATGATATCCAGCCAATCTTTACCCAAAATGAGCTGAAACCCTTCCATCATCGGTACTGCAGACAATGATAGTCGACAAGGTACACTCCCGATACATACCAACACCCGTGGGGCTATTCCGGTGGAAACTATGGTTTCCCCGTTTGCCAACTCCAAGGCAGAATATGCTCCCACAAACTTCAAAGCTGGTCAGCAGTGAAGCCAGTCACTGATGAAAGACCTGCTCGCTCCACTGTCAATCAACGCAGGGACACTTGTCCCATTTACCACGGCGTTCACCACTAGCAACACGTGGTCCTGGACTCCAATGCCTGGGGCTGGCTGTCCCACAGCATCAGCACCTGGAGCGGTTTCCAACCTTTGAACAGATACCGTAGGGGTCTCTCCCTGCTGGGTTTGAGACACTAAAGTTGTCTCCCTGGTGCCATCACCCAAAACCTGTTTCTGCTCAGCTCGCTGTGCGCGTCGGTACCGACGTCTTTCCAGCCGCTTTCTCCACTACCACTTTCTCCTTTGACTTCTTCTTTGAGCGATGCTGAGTTTTCTGTTTTCTAGGATACAAGTCCTCTACATGACCTATTCCTATTGCCCCCGATTAACTCTTGACAGGCCAGAGTGGGGGCCAGTCAGTTTCCCTACCCCTGATGCAGAGAAGCATCAGTTCCATGCCTGGCTGCATGCTGTACAGCCACTTGGTCCGGCTGACCAGCCATCCCCTGATCATCATGGGCAGCTACAGCTGCTACCCGGGGCTTCCTTTGATTGCCTCTACCCCATCCCCTCTATCCATATCCACTAGACTATTGTGGCACAGGCTGGTATACAACGACTGTAGCCTGTGGAGGGACGGGTGGCTTCACAGCCTGCCCCTTTCCATGATTACCCCCTTGTTGCACATTTTTATTTTGAGCCTGTTAATACACAATATTTGGAGCTGGTGCCAATCCTTGTCCACTGGGCTGTCCTGCTGCCTGCCTTGGCCTCGTCCATGACCCTTCTATCCACTGCTGCCCTCTGCACGTCTACTTGATCCTGGGCGTCTCGACAACTGGGCAGCCAATGCAGCATCCCTGGCCAGCTGGAAAGCCTGGCTCAGCCTCTTAGGCTTTCTCTGTGAGACAAGTACTGCCTGGTCCTGGGGAAGGCCCCAGATGAACATCTTCAACACCCATGATTCATCGTAGGTGTCCACCTTATCCAACTCAACCTCGAACCTACAGATGAAATCATGTGTGGACTCCTCTTTCCTCTGCTTGATGTTCATCAATGCAGCCATTGCAGAATCAGCCTTGTTGGTGTTTTGAAACCGGCTGATCAGCTGCTCTCCGAAGGTCTGCATGTCCTTGGGGTCCTCCCATGCCTTCAGCTTTCTCTGCCACCAGGTCTGTGCAGTTCCCTAAAGTAGAATGGAAGTGTATGCAACCTGCTTCCCAGGTGATCCTCCCACCAGATGAAAAAAATTCGACACCTGACCCAACCACACCTCCGGGTCATCAGATGTCCTGCCCAAAAATGTTAGAGGGTCCTTTGGCTTTATTTGGACATCAAAAATCCCAGCCCGCTTACGAGTGCGCCTCTCTGATGACTCGCTGGATGATGTCGTGTCAGTGTGAGAACTAGGCGAACGTGCACACTGCGACCTGTATGATCTAGACCTCTATTGTCCTGGATGGGCAGCATGGCTGGACTGTGCAGGGGGCATCGTCTGATCGCCAGCATCCGCAACAATTTCCAGCTCCTGCTGCAAATGCGGTGGTCGGCTGTATGTCGTTGTTGCTGGTGGTTCTGGGGGTCTAGGCACAGTCTGCTGATAGGGCTGAAAATCCTTTTGCGACCACTCTATAGCTAGGTCCGCGGATAGTTGATCGATTCTGGATAGAGCATCATGGAGCTACCTAGTAAGCCGCTCCACAGTCGCATCCTGTTCCCTCCTCAGCCTCCGTTCTGTGTCTGAATGCATTCTCCAGCTCAGCAATTCTATCAGCATTGCTGACAACGTTTCTCTGCATTGATGACATAGCGGTCTCAGCTCGCCCAAACGCCTCCCTGGTCTGACCCTCCAAATGCGAAACTGCCCTATGAGATGTCTGGGCAGTATGCTACACTGTTGATGCCGTCTGATCAACCAGCAGATTCATGGTATGTGCTATCTGGGCGGCAGTCCCTGCTATCGCCTGTGCAGCTCGCTGCTCCAGATTTTGCATCCCCTGTGCAGCTTCAGTCCTAGAGACCAGGGCATCCTCTGGGTTTCCCAAAACCACTGCCCCCGGCTCTGTCCCGGCAATCAAAATCCTCTATTGCTGCGCCTCATATGACGCAGCAATAACTCCCACACGTCCTACTCCAGTGACTGTCTCCACTGTCCCGTCAATTTCCTCCACACCATCATGGCCCTGCAGGTCCATCATATCACATCCTGCCATGATCCCACTCATGATACTGATCCTCAGAAAAGTTGTACAGAAACAAAGTCAATCGGCGTAGACCTGAGCTTGGGCTACTGAAAATCCACTGAATCCTATCCCCAAGTAGCCAAGCAGCCTTTACCTCCCAACTTAAGTTATCCTGCTTCTACTGGTTTTTAGTAATCACTTTCACACACAGTTACCCCCAATACTCTGCAGGGTGACCTCTCGGTCCACCTGGTAACTTTCCAGAGGGTGCGTCTGTGGCTACTAATGAAAACTTAGTCCCAGCATCAGCCGAACAATCTAAGAATGTGTCCCTTGCCTTGGACGAGACTGCTGTAAGAGGTCTGGGTTGGCCTATGGCACCCCCAGCCTGTCTAATGTATTAAAACTCAACCATCCAAGGTTCAAAGGGGGTGGCTGGCCTGTCTACCTCAGGTGGGCAACGGCCTCACCCTCTGATCGGTTCCGGGGGAGATGCTGCCACTAGGCAGTACCACTCTGGACCCAACTGGGCCTGCCTATTGCCATGCTCAATCTCCTCCCCCTTCCCCTAGCCAAGCCCCCAATCTTGTGGCAGAGTGGTCTGGTGGTGACCCGCCTGCAGTACCTGCAAAATAAGGTGAAGCAACAGATGTCCCCTACTTCTAGAGCGGGACCTTCATCCCTATTCTACAGTGGGTGGGACCTGAGGTTGACGGAATCTTCCAATTGAGGGGTGCTGGCCTTCGCATGTTCGGCTACACGATGGGCGCCTGGCGCATGCACTGAATCCGCAACTGAATCTGCAGATCTGGCAATCGCCCAGTGCTGTCGATCCCCGAACACCAATCGCCCACTGTAAAGCTCCTCAAGCTCACGAAACAAACTCCCGCAGGCACACAGCACTGCGATTCAGCACCCGCGGAGGTGCTGACCGCTGCCTGGGGTGTTGGAGGCTTCTGGAATCTGCAGCCCTCAGGCTACGTGGTCACTCTTGGTTGCTGCGCCTCTCGCTCAGCTCCCGGCTCCGGGCTTAGCACTCCAAAACCAATTTATTGCGGCCCCGTCGGCAGCCACTGGTTTTCGGAGTCGTTGGGGTCGCCCTACCCTGCAGCACGGCTGTTGGAGGTCAGCCGGCTTCTCCACCTCGGATGGTGGGCGTATCCGGGGCAGTCGCTTCCGTTGTCGCGCAGTGGGCCCAAGGCTCGACGGGTATCGATCCCCGGGGCCTGCTGTCGGCGAGAGGTGGCGGCGCAGCGGTGTGGCGGTTCGCTGGCTTGCGGGAGGCCAAAGAGTGGGCCAGAACGGCTACACGATTCACAGCATGCGCACGCACAAATCCACATGCGCGATGCCCGATCGCGGGTCCATCGCTGTCACACCAAGACAAGACAAGTCAGGTGCACATCCAGGCACATCGTCACCGTCCACCGTTCACCTACGATTGACCTACTGTCTTCTAATTCCAAGCATCTAACACCCGACCCCCTGGCCCTAAGTACTACAACTTCAGGAGGCCATATCTTTGCCGTTTCTTAACGGAATCGGGCGTTTATATCCCAGATTATATAATCGCCACTCCAGAAAATGCCAATAACTGCCTAACCCCAAGTAACCACGTCACACCCACTCGTCACCACAATAATTTTGTGAATCCTAAAACATGTTTTTCTTCTTTCTATAGATTCAGAATGTTTTGCATACAAACCATCTTCTTGATATGTATATAAGTCACACACCATAATGCATAAGTGATCCACCTAGTGAAATGGTGGTCATTATGCTGTGTTGCGAACATATATTAAGTTCCATTATTGGAACTCTAGTTTACTAAAAACCGTCCCTTTGTCACTGCTCTAGGATGATTGGCTTCCCTAGACTACATGTGTAGTCTCAAGCCATGTAAACTACAAAAATATATAACTATATATATTATACCATCTTGTAATAGATGGTCCGGCATGATTCATGGTGACTCACGTGCCATGGCGAGGTGGGTCCATGGCCTTAGCGGGAAGGCACCCACCGTAGCATTAGTCGTGTATCATCCCATACCCTTGGGTTTGCTACAACCCATTACTCATGGGTTTTATCCCATTATACCATGACCCATTAGTCATAGTGCTTTAAATTCACTTTCATGAATTATTTGCTTTGGGATCCATGGATTCATCGCCAGCACGCAATGCATACAACGATATGTAATTCCAAAAATGTTGCATGTTACATACACCGTTATTGAAACGACGCGACATGGGTGTCTCTAAGTGTGAACGATGGTGTGAAGGCATCGCGGCCTTGGCCTATGATTCCGGGCACCTTCATCCTGGTTTGCGCAGTGTGCCCTTGAGCGGTGGCTTTGTACTGGAGGCCCGGCATTGTTCCCACAGTCGCCCTCCCTGCTCGCCTGCGCAACCTATTTTGTGCGAGAGACTACGGCAAGCCGGCAAAAACCGCGCACGAGGGTGGGCACTGCGAGATGCTGGACATCAACATCTTCCGAGTCGGTAAGAGCTCGCGCGTCGCGGGCTCATCGGCATCGAACACAGCAACCAGGAGTGGTTTGGGCCCCGTGACTTCAACGGTCCTGGCTTGACATCTGCTTGGAGCTTGGGTGTCTGTCCAAATATTCTGGCATTGGTTGGGGGCAAAGGATCCACACCATTCGGGCTAGTGAGAAGGTTGTCTCGCTGGCCAAAACAGACTCGTTTCTCCAAACATGTGCAAGTGTTGTGAGGTGCATGGCTTGTGCCAACATTGAAGACCACTCCCCTTGCAGAGAAGGGTGGCAACCCCGACCTGGTGCGCGAGTCCCAAAGGCGGCGGTTCGCGGATGTTGGAGTCGTTGACCGGATCATCGAGCTGGACAGGAGCTGGAGGAATTGTGAGTGGGCAACACGGGCTGCAGAAGCGGCTGCGGGCTCGCAACTGTTTTGGGGACCATCCATTACCTGGCTTAGCAAAAAGCATATATCAAAAAGATATCAAACAACTAACAGCGCATCTCTGAGGAAACATTTTTCGAGATTCATGTGCTCCATGGGTGGTATGTGTCTTTAAGATCCCTGAGCAGATCATACAGTGGTGCAACCCCTCCAACAAGCATACAGCGGGGAAAAACATTGAAGAAGGAATGACCTGGTAGTTGCAGGACTTGCGTTGATGCTGTTTAGTTGTGCCTTTGCTTTGAGTCTGCGGGGTCTTGAAGGCACCATCCACGCAACCTACTCACATTGCAAGTGAATAGACCCAAGATTCTGCCCACTCCTGACATATAAGTTGAGCTTCCACCTGTGAGAAGGGAACCCAGCCTGAACACAACCTTCCCATGCTACTCGTGCAGTGCAGTATCAGTGCGAGCAGCTCAAGAAGGAGTTCAATGCTCTGAACAAGGAGATTGGAAAGCTCAGAAAGGTGGGAGACAGTGCATATTAGTGACTGCTTGTGCCACTAGGAGGGTCCTGCTAATGCATTAACTTGGAGCTGTTTTGCACATTTGCTGTGCATGCAGCCAAATTGTTCCGCATCGTTGCAAACATATACACAGTGCTTATTTGTTTCAGTGTCCTTTACCATACAGCCTAAAAGTTGTGAAGCGTTGAATTGTAGGAGATGGCAAGATTTGTGTGCTTGTCCCCTGAAAATGTGCAGATGGCTTGGTGCTGGGAAGATCGATGGGAATTAACGTTCCTTACACTCAGGTTTTGGTATGTTGAGAGTGTCATGTGTGATATGTGGTGCGCAGACATAGTGTTCGCCCTGTAATCTACTTGTTGAAACTGTTGTCCATTTACTCACAGTATGGTCTTTTACATTATGTTCTTTTAGCAGTATTGTTTTGGGGGCTTAAGGCATACCAGAAAGACCACGATTTAATAGTAGTGGATTGGAACACTTGATGGATGCTTGTGTCCATGTGCCCAGGCCAAGGAGGATGCGACCGACCTGCAAGAGAAGTCAAAGACGATGAAAAAGCGCATCCAGGATGCAGAACAGGAGGCTGTAGAGGCAGAGAAGGAGCGTGACCTTGCCCTGGCTTCTGTGGGCAATCTTGTGCATGACAGTGTGCCCGTCAGTGATGATGAGGTCAGTGCAAGTGCTGTTACTTTAGTTGCGATGGTGCTTTAGTGACTGGCTCAGCCACTAAGCAGTACCAATTCAGCTGCTAGACACTTCCCAGTACTAGTTTTTAGCTGCAGGACACTCACAAGCCATTGCACCCAGTTGCTTTCAATGATGTGATTGTGGGTGTACACAGCGGATGCTGTTGTTTGTGCTCACATTCATTTGCAGGGTGGAGCAGTGTCTCCCCATCTCGTCTGTCGGGGGGGGGGGGAGGGGGTCCAGGTATAACATGTGTCGTGTCCTTGTTTCAACAAATCATCCTCTGCAAAAGAAAATGGGTGCCAGCAGCCTGCTTACAATACTAATGGCAAGGCTGTATTGTGAGGCGTTGTTCTTGATCTGTCTGCAAGCTTGGATGTGTTTCTCACCCTACTGGGAAACAATATACCAGGAGGCTATTGTTGACGGCAGTGTTCCTGTCTGAATACTTGCCTGGGTCACAGTCTCAGGTGCCCAGCATGCATGCCTTTTCAGACTTTGTGAGAAGGAAGCTCACCTGGCAACCAAGAATCTGGTCAACGAGGCTCCCTGATGAAGGTGGTACACTGTTTCCACATCTGTGAACCAGTCCATCTGACACCTCTTGCTTGTGTGAAACAGGCAAACAACGGAGTCCTGAAAGAAGTGGGTGAAATGCGACATGAAGACAGCCTGAAGCCCCACATGGAGTTGGTGCAAATGTGTGGGATTGTGAACCTTGAGGATGCTCAAAAGATCGCAGGCTCCAGGGCATACTACCTCATCAATGAGGGTCCCTTGTTGAACCAAGCCCTGATAAATTATGGACTTCAGTTTGCCCTGAAGCGTGGCTTCACCCCCATACAGACTCCTTACTTCATGGTCAAAGATGTGATGGGCGAATGTTCACAGCTCAGTCAGTTTGATGAGGAGCTGTACAAGGTGACCGGGGAGGGGGACGACAAGTATTTGATTGCCACCTCGGAGCAGCCCCTGTGCGCGCTGCACCGAAAGAAGTGGTTTGAGAAGGAGGACTTGCCAATCAAGTATGTGGGGTACTCGACATGCTTCAGGAAGGAGGCTGGCTCCCGCAGTGATACACTTGGTATCTTCAGGTGGGGGTTTGCATGACTCTTTGTGCAAGGATAACAAAAGCCTGCTACAGAAATGCAAATTTGCTCATGGCGGGTGGGGTTGGGGTGAGGAACTGTTTTGGTTTTGTGTTTGGCTGATGTTGATAGTCTATGGTTGGTTGAAACCAGATTTTGGTGAATTGAGGGTCAGTGAAGCACTTCAAGGCACTTGGGACATGCATTGTGCACCAAAGGGATGTGGGGGTATCTCGGTGTTTTCTCACCACAGTTATCAAATGAATTCCATATAAAAGCAAACTAATTACAGCTGCGAAAGCAGCTAAGGGATGGATCCTCTGAATGGATATCTTTATTTCAATTCTAAGCTGCAGGATTCCTTGCGATGGGCAATGCATGAAAAGCACAGCACAAGCCAAAAACCAATGTAAATCAACGCAATTTGGCTGCAGGACAACATTTGAGCACTTTTGAACCAAATAATGACACTGACTGATGTTGTGTGTTGTTCCCTGCACGGCGTGCAGGCGATCTTTGCTAAATTTCAACAACCACAATGAACGCACATCTGAGGCTCACCAGGCCCAAATTCTGCCAAACCGCAAACAATTTTGCATTCATTAAGATTTTTTGTTCCTGGGACCTGTGAAAGACATCCATGTGGACTGTAGTGACTTGTGGATGTCGCACGCACTTTGGCCACACTCCTGTCACATTGTTTGGGATGAAGAACGTTGAATGCTGAATGGATGTTGATGTTGAATTTGTAAAAATTGGATATTTGGAGTGAACTCTGAATTTGGATATTGTCATTGGCTGCAACGTTCAAGATTGCCTACCGTTGTCCATAGAGATAGCACATGTAGCCTGACAGGAATTCTATTTCTCCTGCAATTTGTTAAGTGGACTGTGAATCTCGACTCAGTCTTCAAGCACTGTTGCTGGCACAGGGTTCATCAATTTGAGAAAATCGAGCAGTTCATTGTCTGTTCCCCTGATGATGGCGAGTCGTGGCGGCTTATGGAAGAGATGCTCACGAATTCGGAGGACTTCTTCCAGTCGCTTGGGATTCCTTACCGGGTTGTCAACATCGTCTCTGGCGAGCTGAATAACTCAGCGGCAAAGAAATACGACGTTGAAGCCTGGTTTCCTGGCTTGGGCAAGTTTAGGGAACTGGTCAGCTGCTCGAATTGCACTGACTACCAGGTGTGGGGCGCCACTCTGATCAATTTTGTGGGCCATCTTGGCATTAACTGCCAAGGCAGTGCTTATCAATGCAGTGAAGTTACAAGAGCCATACCTTGTCGTTTTGGCTATATTGTTAGTTGTTCAAAGATATATTGTACTGGTATTAGGCATATGATTACCAAAAGAATGAATTGGCAACGATTGTTGGATACAGGCGCGGGTTGCGTAATGGCACACATACAAAGGTGCACAACGTTGTTGTATGACAATATTATTTGTTGCTAAACCAGCGCTATGTGGTGCAAAGTGTTTGAGACTATTGCCACATAGACAAGCAGATTCAGAAATCATCATATGCAGTCCAAGAATCATGAAGCATGCAATAATGCAAGAGCCAACGGAAAATTGCACTCTGGCGCACCTTGCAGCATCAGTTCCAGTTGCTGCATGCCTCATCCGCTGCAAGCTTGATTGCTTGCATAGGGAAGTGCGTGCACACCAGCATCCATGTGGAAGGATAAGGAAATTCTTTCTGACTCATTTGTACCATTTGCCTGCATCGTTGTTAGTCACATGTCATGTCTTCAGTCCGACGTGTGACTGCATGGAACTCGCCATGCTTTGCTTGGTGCTGTCCACATCCACATGGCTTTTGCACATTCTCCAAATGCGCGTGTTTCAGTCTACCACCGCTCTGCTTTTTCTGTGGCACATTTGCTGCTCATCTTCTGCCTGTGGCGAGATTCCTTGAGGGAGGTTATGGTTCGAGGGATGTGTGCATTTACAGTGATACCAGCATGAGACCCCAAATATTTCTCAAATAAAAATGCGTTTGGCAATATTTGCACAGAATGATGTGCACAGGATGACACAGAATGACATAGGTCCACATGAGCTGATTTGGAAATTATTCTGGAAATTGGACAAATGCAACTGGAGGTGAAAGTATATTGGTTACAAAACAACAGGAGATCTTTGTGGTGGCATGTGCATTCAGGCCCGGCGATTGGATGTGCGGCTCAGGAGTGGGGCCACTGTGGGGGCAGAACAGCAAAAGCTGCACGTGCACATGCTGAACAGCACCCTGACAGCAACAGAAAGGACCATCTGCTGCATCCTTGAAAACTACCAAACCCCTGAGGGCGTGAGGGTCCCAGAGCAGCTGCAGTCATTCATGGGTGGAATGGATTTCATTCCTTTCCGGAAGCCCCAGTGAAATAGTTTTTCTGCTGCAATATTGTGGAGTGAAAGCAGCTCGATACAGCTCAAAGAAACCTTGGTAAGGTGTGGTTGGAGCCAGTGGTGACGTGAATTAATGTATGCATTGCAGCAACACCAAGAATATGCTGGTCAGGGTGTGTGTCTCTGCTGTTTTCCAGCGGTCCACAAGGGACTTTCAAATGCTTGGCAGCGGGGAGGTGTGGAGTGGACTCATTGAAGGGTAAGAACGCCAAGCAATTTCTTTGATTGCATTTACAGAGGCTGCAAAATCGGACCTGGGCGCCCACGAGGCGATGAAAGGCAATCTGTGCAGTGGGAGCAATTTCACTTTGTTGATCAGGGAGGTTGGCGTCTACTTTGGCTTCACTCAGCTATTGAGGGCGAAACAGCACCCATGCGCCTCCTTTGCAGTGTGTCGGGTGTGTTAGGCAGGGAGGTGCACAGCTGGGGGTGTGCGGGGAGACTATTGTTTAAGGTCAGAGCGGCCACATAGATGGCCATCGGATTGCAAAGCAGGAAAGTGGCATCAGATTCGTGAACATGCCCTTTGATGTGCAGAGAACAAGTGTCAAACCAATTCTTTTAATGTGGTAATTTTCTGCAGGGTGTTTGTAACAAGACAGCCCAGGAACTTGTAGAGTTCGTGCATGTGGAGTACTGTGTATACGACCTGCTGTCTGTGCAGAAAGTGGGACCTCCTGGCAGTGCTGCTTGGTCAGCTCACGATATTGAATACAGCAGGAGAGAGAAGTCATTCTGTGTGACAACTCTGTCCTGTATTATGTGTTTCAGACCCAAATACTCTGAGGATGTGGAATGAAATTGCAAGAAAGGGCTTCTTGGATGCTTGAGCTCAAGAAAATTGTCAGTCCTCCAAAACAGTCTCTGGATCATCTGCAGTAAAGAGCCGGTGTATTCTGGTCGAAACAGCAGGGCCCACACGCCGTTTTTTGGCTGGTGGCTGGAGCAAGTTTGACAGTAGTCCCCGTTTCTCAGCGGCGCTCCTAGCCACAGAGCGTCCCACAAGCAAGCAACGTGAGCCTGTTGCAGTGTTTTTGAAATGAAAACCCCAGCTCGCTCCAACAACAAGGGATCAGTGGACAGCACGGAATCTGCTCCCAGCACGCTTAGTTTTGCATCTACCACATTTTGCCACCCTGTGACAAATCGCTTGTCTTGAACTTCAAGTGATGACAGCAAATCCACACCATGTTTGCACCCACATCGCCCCAACAAATTGCAAACTGGTGGCCAAAAATGGAAGAATCTGCTTGTGTCTGTATTCATTCCTGAACCACAGCCGCACTGGCAGGAGCAAGATGAAGCCATGACCTTACAGAAAAAATTGGTACTCTCACAAATTTCCCAACGGCAAGCAACAATGCAGCACCTTGTACATGGACAAGTGCAGGCTACGCAGCAAATGAACATAACAGTGGAAATGCAAAGCACATTTGCTGCAGCATGAACAGTTCTGAGGTACATAAAAGCATTTTGTGGACTGTGGCTGACGTGTGCCAATATTCTATGTCCCATGGGGATCGTACCGATTGCTGTCATCATATGCACCCATCAGCTCCCGAAAAGTTGGGTGCTCCAAGGCCACTGCCTGCAAGCAGCACATGGACAAATCCAACAAAGCTCAAACAACATGCAGGATGATGTCACTCTGTGTTTCACATAGCTTCACAAGTTCTGGTGCCAGCCACCACATCCAAGATGCTGCTGTTGGCCCTGGCTGTGTCCAATTCACAAAGCATACACAGCTGCAGGAGCTTCTCATACTACAGCACAACCACAGTTCTTGCACTATCTTAGTATATTCGAATTTAATGCCCAATAGGTTTTTGCAGGCAAATTTACAGCTATCCACGAGCAGACGTAAGGACAAGTGTCTACAAGTAGATAGACATAGACTGCAGTAACTAAGTGTCTCTGCAAGTAAGCAAAAGTAGAATTATTGCCCACAAGCATGGCCACAGACAAAGACATCCTCACTTGGGCATCCCTTGGTCCAACTCCTGGGATGGCGTGCAGCAGCATTGCAAAAGCTGCGCTGTGCTGCGGGGCGTCATGCACTGCTGCCTCAATTTCGCTGACAGTGTTGACCCCTTTGCTGCCACCAGAGCTCCCCAGGAAACGGCCTGTGCGATAGTATGGCTGCCTGGCAAGGCAGACAGACAGGCAGGCGACGTGCTGTGCACCCTGCAGCGTGTCCGCTACCAATTTGTAGCGCACACCCGGATGGTGGGTCGTCAGACGGATGAGAAAATCGTCTATAGGCTTCCGGCCTCCCCCTGGTGCTCTCTTCTGTGCATCAAAGTGGTGACAGTCAGGTTGACAGGAAAGTCGCATCACCAAATTGGCAGATATGTAATTCATCCGGCCACCCGCCCTTGCATTGCTACGTTTGGTAGTATGCTGTGTTGCGCCTGTTGATGCATGTTGCTTTGTGTTGAACTGAGCTAGCATTACATAGTGAGCAGCAGGCAAGGCATGCGTCGCATGATCGGGGCTTCAGTATGTCAAACAAGACACTACTACTTTACATATGCGCACATCCAGGGCATCAGCTTCCATCACCTGGTTCTTTCCAGATGAACAGAAAACAAACACCTTATTGCTTGCGACATGGTAATGCACAGAAGGTCACCTCCCGTGTTCCACATTACTGTGCTTCAGGAAAAATGCCAAGTTTTTGCAGCATGAAATCCCACATTCATCAGGTTTGCATGAACACTGAAAAAAGAAAATCCCCCAGACATAATAAAGAGAAGTGTTGGTCCCCCGCAGCTTGATGGCACATCGCAGTCCACAGTCCCGTTGTTGGCTCCTGCTGTATTCAGCAACCTGCTGCTTATGTGTGGGGTCAGCAACCTGACAAGTCACCACACTCACCTTGGAAGACTGTTTCTCAAGCCGCTGAAGATATGCTTCCAAGCCAACCACCATTAGGCCCAGCGTACAATTGCAATGGACACTTGCCACTTCGCAGAACAAGCTGCACAGGCCATCGTCAAGTACTTCATTGACAAAATCCTCCGCCTGTCAACAACATGTGCATTGAGTTTTAAGTCAATTGCTAGTAGTGTATCTGGAACTGCTGTGGCGAAATTCCCATAGCTTGTTGGACTCCTCCATCCCTGAATGTGCCACAGTACGACACAGAGTCTCATCATTTTTGCAAGAGGTGTGGCTTGCTGCCATCTTCTGTGGCAAAAGTAAGTTCCTCCACACGGGAATATGGAACTTTTGGTCAGGTAAGACACCAGAATCAGAATCAGAGCTATCACCTTGGGGCCTAGCAACATGGTGACCATACAGCACACAAGAGCCCCAATCATGCTGGTCTTCAAAGAGAAAAAACCATGGGGAAAAAGCGAGCTAAACAACTAAAAGAAAGAAAGAAAAAAGAATTGCTTTCTTCTATGCCAAGTGACTGGCCTCCACGACGTCATCCAATACAGCAGCCACTTACCATGAAAGCCACCATCGTGTACGGCAAATTCTCGACTACCTCTGTGCATGTGCCCTGGTTAGGGCCTGGCAAGGCCTGTGAGTGCATGTCAACTTGTGAGCCGATCGGTACTGACACTCCTGGCTGGCTTGCCTTTGTTGCCAGCCTTCTGCGCTGCCAGGAAATGCACCACCTGTGCTTCAGGGGCAGTTGCACAACGTCGTAGTTAAGCTCTTGCAGTTGCAGCTGCCTGAAAATCTCGATTCCGAGCTCACACTTTGCAAGGGAGGTGCTGATCTGGACACAAATTTCTTTCAGGGCGTGGCTGCCGCGACACCTTCGAGCATCCTCACGCTCCTGGGCCTTGCGTTCTTTCTCCTACATCGTGCCACACATTGTGATTGTCAAACTGAAAATGCTGTGTGTGAACATGCACAAAAGGTTCAAATGCCATCGTCATTGACTTGTATCTCAACAACAAATCCAAACAATATCCATTTGCAAACAGCTAGGTTTCTTGCCATGCCTATATGTGGGAATGCTGAAACTTGGCAAGTTGTGCATCCAGCCTTTTAGCAAAAACAACAAGCAAAGCAAATGCTGTGCAGCCTGCATTACCTGTTGTCTCTCATGCAACTTCTCTTCCTACAATACAATTCAGAAAGCATATGTCAGCCCTGACATCTGTTGGGACAGCATGTTGAGTTCATTCAAGCTCTGCATTTCCATTTACTTAGGCCCATTTGAGCCACAAGCTTGTTCAGTTCGGAAGACCATGTGGGGCATGGTCCATGGCCCAATGCTTGAAAACGGCATCCATTTACTCACCCAGCCTTGCTGCTACACCCAGTCCTTTCAGCGCTCAGCATTACCCAGAAACATTCAACCAAAAGATTTGAATTCAACGGAAGCGAATGGGGGATCAGCACAGCCATTCACAACACCACCTTTTGCTGCTGCCTGATCCTCTCCTTTTGCTCCTTCGCCCTCAGCCTCTCCGCCTCCTTCTCCTCCCTGACCCGTCTCTTCTCCTCCTCCTTCTCCTCCCTTCTCCTCCTCTTCTCCTCCTCCTTCTCCCTCCTCCTCGCCTTCTCCTCCATCACCCCCTCGTCTCCCCCCTCCCCACCACCACCCACCCTCCTCTTCTTCATCAGCGGCCCGTCCATCTCCATCCGGCCACCCTCCCCCACATCCGCATCAACATTAACATCAATATCAATCGAAACAGACTGCCCCTCCCAGCAGCACAGGCTCCCAACTCCCCTTCCAGGCACCTCGGCCCGATCGCTGCTCCCGCCCGCCGCCAGCCTCTGCGACACAAAATCCTCCAAGTCCACCGCATCCCCGTCCGGAATCATTCCCCGCACGAAATCAGGAGTAGGAGAATCAGGCGGAAGGTCGCTATTGTCCACCGGTGGGAGCAACGGGCCCCTGCTGGCCCCCCGACCGCGGAGGTCGGCCGCGACGGGGATTTCGTCTCTGTGGCGGTCCGGGGCGTCCAGCAGCGCATGGCCGGCTTCACTGTCTTGTTGAGATGGCAGCTTGGCGGGATCTGTCGGCGGGCCGCCCAGGAGGTCGCGGAGGGGCTCCGGGCTCAAGAGGTCCACAGCCTCGCAGCTCTGGGCGCTGCCTGCGCACATTAGCAAACCAACCGCTCGGACAAGGACGAAAGGAAATCAAACCAATATCCCCTAAAAGACCAAACATTCAACCAAACAAATAAACCCCCCAAAGACAAACGTTCAGAGAGAAGCGTTTAGGTGGGACAAACAGGGAGCAGGGGCGTGGCCCGCTGCAGCTCTGAGCACAGAGACCGACCTGGCCGACATCTCTCAATCAAAGAAACCACCATTTCAGGCACACTGGGCACAGCGTCAGAGCTAAACATGCTCACTGGCACACCCATTTTTTCCCCAAGGAGTTCCACAAGCGTAACAACCAAAGGTGCACGCGATTGTTACAGAGAGGAGCGCATAGTCAAGCGATGGGCATCCCAGTGCCAAGCAATGCGGTTGACACTGTTTTTTTATCTAAAGGAAGGGGTTGCAGATGTCTCCGACTGAATTGGGGCATTCGCGCGCAGAAAAGCAGGCGGTGCTCAGCGGTACAAGGTGTTGTGCGACTCACCTCCGGCTTTGGGCGAGGGTGCCGCTGCGGGGGACGCGGTGAGGTCGACGATATCCTCGTCCATGGCCGACGCAATTGGGCCTCGACGCTGGCGAGTGGGCGCGCGGTCCCAGGGGCCTCAGCACAGGACAGAATCTGGGATTCTGGCAAAGATGGACAGTGTTACGCCGGTGCCCTTGATGAGGCAGCACAGCGGCCGGCTCCTTCGCAGATGCCCGGCGGGGGTTCGCGTGGGTGAAACAGGCCCTCGCGGCCTATGACCGTCGCGGTCCGTCAACCGTCAGTCATTACAAAAGGTGTCCAGCCCTTTATATGCCCGTTCCAAATCCCGACAGTTTGTCCGAGCGTACAGGTTGCTTGACAGCGTGTTTACTCGTATGTCTTGACTGACACTTCACCCACATCATACTGGCAGCCCCCGCTGGGATGAAACCCCGAGAAGTCACCCTGAACTCACTAACCCGTCTCCCCTCTACGTTCTGTCCCCTTGCGCCCACAGCTATACCTCTAGGCCGGCCTACCTGGACCCGTCCGCCCGCCGATGTTCCTGAGGTCCCTACCCACTAACTCCCTCACGCCCACGTTCTCCCACACAGCTACCCGTTCCATACCTACGTCCCCGATCCGCCTCTCACCACACCCACGCCTTACTGCCCTCATCACTCACGTGCTTACCCTGACCAATCAACCATTCCGCTGAACAGTACCCCCCCCTTGAAGTCATGAGCCTCCCGGCTCAGGGAATCTCACTCCAGGAAGTCGTGCAGTGTGCGGTTGCGCTCGAAAAGTGTGGGCCCGCGCACGCGGAAATCAGGTGTATCCGGAGGGCCAAATGCCAAGGCCCAGACGCCCGGCCGCGCGTAAATGTAGATGCCTCCTGCCTGTCCCCTGGTGACCCACCTTCCGCCTATCCACCGCGCGTGCGATCGTCGAGTCACTTCCCGTATGTGCGCCGCTCTCTCGTCGTCATCTGCAGGTGTTTCCAGGGTACCAAACTCCGTCCACCCAGCGCTCCACCATGCGTCATCCTCGGCCTTATCGCTTATGGCCTTGTCCACGTCTTTTGACCACCACGCGGATTGGCATATGCGTTCTGCGGTTATGTCCCCCTGATGTGAACCCCCACGAGGAACCTCCGGTTCCCGCGTCTCCGCCCCGGGTCGCGCCTCAACCTCCCGCGCATTCCTTGCCATTGTGTCTTCTTGTCCTACATGGGAAACCCAAGCCGCAACATCGTCTTGGGATCCCCGCGAAAGGCGGTCCTCCACTCCGTCAAGCCGCATGCGCATTGAATTCACTTCACACCGAAGCGCGCGAAGGTCGCGTATCATTCGCGTCATCATGTCCTCTCTCTCCAGCGTCGAGTCCGCCGTTGAGGGTGTCGCCGACCCTCTGAGCCGTGCCTCTTGTGTCCCCATCCGGCCCGTGCTCCTTGACGGCGTCCTGATCGGCACGGTCACCTGCGCCGGTTGCGACTGGAATTCCCAGGCCTCGACATCCTCTTCTTCCTTGGCCGCAGGCCGCCGCGCGTAAAGCGGCCGGGTCGCCATCGTGTCGCATTGCCGATGCGGCCTCGCCCTGCGATCCGAGGCCGCCGCGCGTGCGGTAAGGCTTGACCTGGTGGTGGGCGAATAGCCGTTCGCGATGCGCCACACGTACTTTGACAGCTCCCAAGCGACCGGTCCACGTCACCTCAAAAGGGCCGATCCATCTTGCCCCGAGTTTGTTGGGTCGTACTTCCCGGCACACCAACACGCGGTCGCCAACGCACATGTGGCTGGCTCTTTCCCCGGGGGTCCTCCGAACTACTTTCCTCCGGGCTGCGGCAACCCGTCGGATCTCCACCAGCCTGGCCGCATGCTCCCGCTCCTTTGATGAGGCCGACATGTCGTCCAGATGCTCGCCCTCCAGGAGCTGACACTGTTCACGCACCACCAATTCCAGGGGTCCCCGCGGCAATACTCCCGTCAACATCGTTAATGGGCTCTCGGGATGCTCATGTGTAACTCGTGCGTTGGCAGCAAAGACCGCGGCCGCCAGCGCATCATCCCACTCTTGCCCAGGACCCATCTTACGCAACCGTACCAGCAGCTCGCGATTCGCGCGCTCGACTCTCCCGTGGCTCTGAGGATAATATGGTGATGACCAAGACATCTTGACGTTCCAGTGACGGCACAAGTCCTGGAACGCTCCAAGGAAATGCGTTCCGTTGTCCGTCTGCACCTTGGCCGGCAACCCGTACCGGAAGGCTACCTCGGTGGCGAAAAAGTGCGCTGAATGTGCCGCGGTCGCCGCAGGGTATGCCTTGGCCGCGATAAATCCCGTAAACCCGTCAATCGCCACGATCACGCACGAATTCCCTTTGCTCATCTGCGGCATTCCAAGAATCCAATCGACCTGCACCCATTCCCACGGTTGCGTGGCAATGACACGGCCCACTGCCTGTGCCGGTTTCTTAGGAGTGTGTCGCTGGCAAATCTCGCATTCAGCGACCCATTTCTCGACATCCGCGCGCATGTTTGGCCACCAAAACTGCTGGGCTAGCCTTCGCAAGGTAGTATCGCTGCTATAATGACACCCTAACACCGAGTCATGCCCTTGCAGCAGCGCGTTAGGTACCTCCGACTTCAGCAGGCACACAACCTATCCTTGAACTGGCAGCTGCTTAATCAGCCGCCCCCCGACAATGCGGTATTCCAACGGCTGCGGGTTGGCCAGAGTCCATTCGATGATTTCGCGGTACCGGGGGCTCTCAAGGAATCGCCGAAGCTCTGCGGGGATTTCCAAGTCCCTTGCGGCGAAACACAAATCATCTCCCGCCTCCTTTGGAACTTGGATCGACTTGGGAAGCACGCGAGACAACCCGTCTGCATTCGCGTAGCGCCGCCCTTCCCTTGCGATGAATTCCAAGTCAAATTCCCCAAAATCGCTTGCCACCGCGCAATCCTCCCCGTGTGCCCGTCTTTGCGAATTAATCCAATCAGCGGGCGGTGATCGGTTCTGACGAGGCACCGGACCCCCAACACGTAGGGCCGGTATTTTACTACGCCCACCACTAGCGCCAAACACTCATGCTCTGTGGTTGAGTAATTTTGCTCGGGCCCCGTCAGAACTCGCGAGTGATACGCGACCGGCCGCTCCACACCATCTCTGACCTGCGAAAGCACACATCCAACTGCCACCGCGCTAGCATCGCAGTCCAAAACGAACGGTAGGGTGAAATCCGGTTTTGCCAAGACAGGCGCCCTGCACAATTCGTCATGCAATCAGTCGAAAGCGTCCTGCTGCTCCTTCCCCCAGTCAGTACTTCCCCCTTGACTGCGTGCGCCCATGGCCGCCACCAACTGGCTCAATGGTCTGGCAATTTCGCTGAATCCCTTCACGAATCGTCGGTAGTACCCTGCGAGTCCCAAAAATGACTGGAGCTGCTGGCGAGTCTTGGGAATCGCAAATTCACGCACCGCCATCACCTTGCTGCTGACCGTTCCCAAGCCGTCCTTAGACAACATATGCCCCAGAATTTCCAATTGTTCAAACCCCACGAAGGTCTTACTGGGCTTCAACTTCAGCCTATATTCCCGAGTTCGCTCCAAAAACCGTCGGAAGTCAGCCGCAACGCCTTCTTCCCCTTCATGCGCCATTCCCGCGTCGTCTACGAAAGACCGCACCCGCTCCAGGGGTCCATACGCGGCATCCACCACCCGCGAATATCGAGGCGGGCCATTACAAACACCGAACGGCAGGACGTTCCACACGAACACTCCCAATGGGGTCAAAAAGGCCGTTAGGGGGCGCGAGCTGTCTTCCATCTCCATGGCATAGTAGCCGCTGAAACCGTCAATGCTCGAGTACAATGGCGAGCCAGCCAACTCCTCCAGGATTTCGTCCACGCGCGGCAAGGGAAATGCGTCGGGTAATGTGGCCCGATTCAAGGCCACAAAGGTGCAACACAATCGCAAGTCCCCATTCTTCTTCGGGCGTAGCGTAACGCCCGAAAGCCATTCCACTTCCCCGTCCCATTTTTCAATGAATCCGGCATCCAATAAGGCATCGAGCTGCTCGCGGAGAAATGCCAGTTCCTTGGGAGCAAATCGACGCTGACGCCCACATCGCACCGGGCGGCTCCCTTCCCTCAGATTAATGGCGAACTTCATGTACGGCGTTCGTTCCAGATCAGCGTACAACAGCGCGAAGCAATCCTTGAATTCGACCAACACGGTCTTAATCTCCGTCACGACCGCTGCGCTGAGCGAGGGTCCAAAATGGATCTCTTCTAGCCACGCGTTATCCACGTCATCTTGAATGCATGGTAACCCAGCCAACCGCGCAGGCATCACCCCATCGTCTCCTTCCGGCACGGTGGAGCTCATTCCCAACTGCGCTAGGAGCCCGTCCAGCTCTTCTACTGCGTCATCCGGACCCGAATCACAATCATACTTGCAACTTACGTCCGACTCACTATCGCTACTGGTGTCCATCGCGACTACTTCCAGTTGCCTCCCCCGTTGGCGGACTTGCACTCCCCCCCCGGCAAGCATGTAAATCTGCGAATTGAATTGGGCCCCCGTATTGGTCAGCGCGAGCCAGTCCTGCCCCAACAACACATCGTAGGAGCCATTTGCGTCCACGCATCGAGCGGGTACTGAAGCTAAGCCGCCTTGAATTTCCACGGTGGCGTCCTCTGCCAAGCGGTATACCGGAGCCGTTTGACCATTCGCCAACTCAATCCCGGGAAGCTTCCCCACGATGCGCAACCACAACCGATCCGCGCAAGCCTTATCAATGAGTGAATGGGATGATCCTGGATCCAATATCACCCTGCGCACGTGCAACCCGTTCACCGTACACTGCGCATGGATCCCCGTTCCGGCAATACGTGCAACCGGCGGCGCTTTATTACCCCGGCCCACCGATCCCCCAACAGCGCGGGGTTTTCGCGTCGCTCCCAGTAACTCCCTCACCGCCAAGACAAGTTGGGTATATACCTCCCTCTTAGACAGGCCCTTCATCATGCCAATTGGGATGACGCAGGTCTTCGCCGCGTAATCCTTCCATTCTGGCAAC